TTGACAAGCTTATTGGTATTTTTCTGCACACTCTTCAAAAACTCAACCTCTGCTTCTCAGTTTGCACATTTTTGTTGTTAAAGAACTAAAAGTTTTGCGTTTATCCATGATTAACAGTATTCTTAGTAAAACACTATTGAGCTGGAATAGCAAGATGGTGGTTGCTTGTGGTATGCCTTCATGGAGCTCCAGAAAATTTACATCAGTTATATTTCAGGGTTGAAATCAAGTTTTCAGTCATCAAGAGTTCTAGGGTGACACTAAAAATCAGATAATTCTTCATTCATCTGCAAGGCAGTAGGTTAAACACAAGAGCAAGACTTAATGCTCTAATCCAGACAATGCTGGATTAAAAGGTACCGTCTTGGTCTTCAACTCAGCCTGCTGTTCCCACAGGCAACCATATAATCTCCTGCATAAACCAGTTGTTTTACCTTATATTAAAAGGGTATCTATCTTTCTTTATAGTAACTCAAAGATGAAATCTCGCTCTCATTAGCCCTATCACAGTCTTATTTGTCTCCATACATTGCTACCCAAACTTTGCATGCTCTGGTACAAACAGGTACCATCATTCATTTTTAGAGGCCAGGATTCTATTCATGCTATTTAGTCAAACTGGAGAGGATCATGCTAATTCTCACTTCAAATATCAAAGGAGGTGGTTTCTGAGGTATAGTGCAATCTGCTGCCTCAGCTTGTCCAGAGAAATCTGAGGAGTCATGAAGAGATGCAATTAGTCTTATTTCTCCCAGTTGGCAGTAATCTCTTAAGGCACTTGAACAAGAAAGTGGGGCACCAGTCTCCATCCAATGCCTATAAAACAAAGCACTGCAGGACCCCTCTCAAATATGCCCAAAACACATTGTAGAACAATATAGTCTGTGCTCTCAGGGCAGACTGAGGACAGAATTTTAACCACCTCTTGTAGGAGCTGTAAGAAAGGGCAGTGAAAGGTGTTAGGGCCTAAGAGACAGAGGGCACTGTAGCTCTAGGAAGAAAGGAAGAACAAGAATCCAGGTTATTTGTAGTAGTCTGGAAAAAGGAAATCAGCTCACAACCAGCAATTGCATTTCCGTACAGCTCTGCAGACCAGGCACCCCTTACAGCCCCTGAGTCTGTCCAGCATTTTTTTTTCTTCTGGTCCAGTGAACTCAATGATATAAACTTGTTACCCTTGGAGGTTAGGGACTATTCCCATTTTCATACCGAGAAAAAGAGAATATGGCCTAATTTCTCTCTTTGAGAGGAATGTACTGTCTTTGAGTACTGCGTCACCTGCTCAGGCCAAACTGTCACAGATTTTTCCTAAAACAAATGGGGAAGGGTATTTGTAAAGAAAGAAGTTGTTTAGCCCCTTAAGGAGAGAAGGGAACAGCTGTCCTGTAAGGAATTATCTGTCCTCCTGCAGGTATTGTACTCACCAGAGTTTGCTGGTATCGGAATGTTTTTGTTGGAGAGGCATCCCCAGTCATATCTCCAGAAGTAACGTTTTGTGGAGCAGGGGTTGTTCAGGGCAATATCTTCCCTTCTGGTCCCCTCTGCAAAATTATGTGAAGCAGACGCAAGGCTTCAGCGAAAAGCCCACAGAGCACCCTGAGAGGGAAGGTTACCGGCTAGGGAAAGCCTGAGAGGGAGAGTGTAACCAGAGACTCCCTGCCCCCTCCTGTTCAATCTGTGCTTGGACACAGCAGCCGTTTCCCTGCTTTAATATCTCTCTGTTGCCCTGGCACTGGGACAGCTCAGTAAATTAACAGGTGGTGAGGTTTCCCTCTCATTTCTCAGGCAGTATGACTCTTCACTGCGTTTGGAAGTGGTCAAGAGTGGGACCATAGAGAGAATGGAGGCTGATGACAGAGAGACTAGGGAAGAAGAGGACGGAACTCAAGAATGGCCAAAATTAGAGACGAGAGAACCTTCTTGCAACTTGAGAAGAATTATTTACAACAACCTATTTCAGGGACAACTTTGTGAAGTGTCAATGCCTAAAAGGGCAAACTCTCCACAGAAGTCCTTGGAAGACTATTCCTTATTTAAAGTGCATGGTGTCCTGACATTTAACACAATTTGTCTCAAGTATACCCATTATTCCTGATTCTCTGGGCACAATACTTCACCATGGCAAAATTCTCTTCTTCCCAATATCTACACCTTCACAAATCTTCATCCACTGGGCATAACCAGCACTCAGCCAAGCTCTATCTATTTGAACTCTTATAGATTATTTCAAACTTTCCTTCTAAAATTTTTTCCCATCATCCTCAGAAGAAGTGAATTTTAAGTTTTGAAACATCCTTAGTGATATAGAGATCCTCCCAAAGTGAGGAGTGATTAAAAAAAAAAAGTCAAGCCTACGAGCCTAAAAAAACAAGGATTCCAGTTATTTTTTGCAAGGTAGAGAAGCGTGAATGTAACTCTGAATTCTCTGAAAAAACATAGTGAATTACACAGGAGGTGTCTTCTTAAGAATTTGTGCACACAGGCATAATAGTTAATGCAAAAAGAGTCTAGACACTTTAAGTGATAGGTAACAGTGACCATAAGCAAGGCACCAAATGTAGATGAATGGCAACAAGAGAATATTGACGCTTTATAAGAAGCAACCACAAGACGAATTGCCAATAGACGCAACACTAGGCCAAATAGCATTAAAAGCGTTCCTCGTGAAGCTAAATTAGACCAAGGCTGATAATGCCTAATGGTTGATTATAACTTCTCTGGAGATTCTTGTATCATTCCTCCCCCTTTAAAAGGCATTTTTTTCTTCTATATGTATACTCTACTGACATCGTGACTGTGTAATGAAGAAGATCCATTACATAGACAATATTTTCTTTTATTGTATTCCATTAAGCTTAGTAACTTAATGATGTGATGTAGTGAAGAATTCTCATACTCTGATGACAAGGATATGACAACACATTGCTGCCTCCAATATGTCAACAGTGTACAGCAGGAGTCTCAGCTAGGCATAAATTTTATCTTACAAGATGTTTTATAGATTGTCAGACAAATCTTTTCATGTTTTGGAAGCGCGCCTTCTTTCAATACCATTCTGTGCATCCTAACTTTCCTTAAAAAGGTCAGTGGCTATTATTACAAAGTCAAATCCTTTAAGTATCTATCACTTTTTGTAAGGACAAATGGGGAAACAAAATCAGTTTGAAATTACTACAGTTGTATTCATTTTCTGAATCGTTCCACTAACAGAGTGATTTTCATTTAACTTGGATTTCTAAAATAACCGGTCCAAATCCAGTTCTACTCACTGTTTTCACTTGCCTTTCCACAAAATAAAATAGAACAAAACAAAACTTTTGTCATTGTTCTTCTTACCTTTTAAGCCAAAACGTAAAGTGGTCAATACTTCCTTGCTATCCCACCTATTTAACTTGTTCATTAAACTATGTTGGTAGTTTAAAGCTTACTTCTTTAAAAATGAAAACATCTTGTTTACTTTATCTTCTACACTACTACCACACTTCCTGCCCAGGTAGATGTTGGTGATTCCCCTATTCCACACAATTACTAGATTTCCTGTACCAGCATTTGGCATTACTGAAATACTAACGTATCTCTGTCCATAAACACAGAGCTCAGAAGAAAGAGCCTTCTAGGTGTCACAGGTGACGCAGAGTAAGTGACAACCTGTAGTACATCTGGATACTGGGGTTTATTTAAGAACCAAAAATAGAGCTTTTACCCTTGGCTCCCCCTCAGTGCTACATTCCCTACATCTTGACTTCCCTTCCCAGCAGGGACATCACTTCTGATCTGTGAAGGTGGGGCAAAAAGTGGTGTTGGTTCTGTGCTGCAGCTGCTCGCAGTTAACTGTCTCAGGCATTACCAGCCAAGGTCCCTGGGTACCTCCTTGCATTCATCTCCGTGCAGCTCTCTGACCTCCTGGATCTTCCCCCACTTCCAGGATCTTTCCTCCAGCCAGAACCTTCACCTTCTTTCTGGGCCTCCTTCCCCTTTCCAAGACCCCTTATTTTTTCAGGAATCCTTGTTTTCAGCACCAGCTCTTCTTTCTGGAACACCAAGCCCCAAATTTTCCCAATCTAAATAGCCTATATGCAGAAGCACAACACATGATCAGTCTCCCAACTGGTAGATCTGTCTCATGTCTCTTTTTTAATTTAGTAACTTTTATTTAGTTCAGGTGTTATCAAAATTTACAACTAGCCCAAACTGGTAACAGCTAGTAAGCAGCAGGCTTCTGGCTGAGAGCTCAAAAGTTCAGTTTCAGACCTTCACCCACACATACACCCAATTATCTGCTACCTGGTAGTGTTCACAATTTAAGCCCCCCCTTACAACACTAGGATACATGTATTTTGCCTATTTTCTTCTTGAAACTAACTCAAAAGTAAAAGAGACCAGTATCTGGAGTAAAGATACTCTTTACTCATGAGAGGACTTGGTTTCTTTCAGCTTCCATATTTGCATCCTAGAAGCACCATCTGAGTGTTCAGGGGAACACACGATTGCATGAATTTGGTAAAAAGATGGTATCTTGTTTTGGCAATGATATACGGTGACAGCAAAATACACTCAGAGCAACGTTTCCATTACTTGTAACTTCACCCAAACAGGTTTATGAAAGCAGAGAATAATTAAGACACTCTCGATGTCTACTTTCTCAGCATAATCAACTGGGATTTAATCACAGTTTTCCTACAAAGATACACTAATAATCCTGAATTTATTCAAGATTTTACAGGACCCGATGTATTGGGTACCCAACAACCCACATTCCTTCCTGACTGAGCACTGGTGCAAGGATGTATGTGTTCTGTCAGAATAGGCATGCCACATTCAAAGTAGTAACTATGTAACAAAATAAAAAAAGAAACACGAACTTTGGGAGATACTATCTTAAGACATTATGCAAAATTCTCCTTATATAGAAGTTCAATTTCTGTGCAGAGATATAGTTCTCCAAATGGAAGATATGGCACAGATTAATCAAACAAGAGTTCTTTATTTTGACACCTCAAGGCAGTAAAATACAGGTATACAAAAAGTATATACGAAAGTGGCAGTGATAATGCAACTTGATGCAATCATACAGAAAGCTGGAGCACTTCATCAATACACATATCTGTACAATATTGCACCATTTCAAAGAAGGAGCACTCAGGAAGAAAATGTTTATATTCCAGGGAGAAACAACAGCCCTAAATTGGTATCTTAACTTCAGAGTAAGGCATCCATTGGCAAGTATGATCCTTGATCTGTTTACTACATGTTTTGTGCAAGATAATCTGCATCCCTTTGTGCTTCCTATTCATAATTCTATCTTGAAACATAGATTAAAAAAAGCCACGCTTAAAGAACAAGCCAGGAACTGTCACCCTACTGTGACAGAACAGAGAAGATAGAGACTCAAGTATACAGACTGTAGTCCGTATGTAATCCAGTATATCAGGATTTAGGCTACCACAAAACAGAATAACGCCCATCTCCCCCATTGCATCACATGGCAGCAACTGAAACAGGACACAAGAGGCAAATTACAGTATGAAGAGAACGCGTAGGAAACTTCCAAAAGAAGTGATGGATTATGCCACTACATTTCTGATTGACCAGTTACAGTAACATTTTGCAAACAGTATTAGCTAAACAAATAGCTTTAAATTATAATGGCTGAAGTAAGAAAATTAACGGAATGAGGGTAATTATAATGTAAAATGCTTCCCTTTTAAATGAAAGGGAAACAAACTGCATTGATGAATAATCCAAGCAACATGCTTAAACTGTAAAGAGCTGCCTTGATTATTTTTGTTAATTAAACAAAAGCCAAGACATCCTTTTGTACGAGGTTGTGGGGTTTCAGTTGTATAGCTCAATTTATAGACTGCTGAGAAGTAGGTGGAGTGTCTGAATGCTGTATTTATTGTGACATGTAGCTACAATGGCAAACTAATTCATCAAAGTGATACTCTACACAGTTGCTTACATTTGGGACTAAGCGGAACTAACCTAGAATTTCTAACTAATTTAATCTAGAATTTCTAGCTAATTTCTAACTATTTCTGGGGCAGTTTATGGAGACCCACTCCTGGGTACTGGGAGTCCTGGGTCTCCATTTGCTTTCCTGCTAACCTGGGATGTCTTGTGGTTCTTCTGATAATTTAGCTACAGAAGGAACACGTGCAAAATCAGACTTTAAGTGATCAAGATGAATTGTGAAGTGCCAAATACTGAAAACACTAACATTTTAGAAAGGAGAAGGGTTCTCTTTCACAAGGGAGTCCTTTTCTAATGTGCACAGGATCTAACTGTACTGCATGAAGAACCAGGCAAAAATTACTTTAAAATTTTGACATAAAAGCATAAATAGCAACTTAGGAATAATTTTCCTTTTAGAAATACTTTTCTATATGAATAGTCAGTTTCCTTTTCTGCATTCATGTTGCTTGCAAATGCCTTTGTCTCCTTCCAAAGGATGCTGCCACTTCTTCCCAGTTTCAGTTCTGTCTGTTCGCCAACATCTATACATCTATTCCATCTATATATGGAATAAGCCAGGACATTAGAGCTTTAAACCCTGAATTTAATCAGATTACCAATAGTTGCTAGATTATTTTAGAAAAAGAACTTCAAGAATTGGCCTGACCAGACACAAACAAGCATCCCTTGCTTGGGCATCTGGTATCAAAGCCCATAAGAAGAAAAATGTAGACATCCATACTCAGAGTTCAGCTTTGGCAGTATAACTCTTCCAAGAGAACTGGCAGGGTTAATTTCTTGCCAGATAGCCAGGAAACAGGTAAAGGTCCCGACAGAGCGTGCTACAGTATTCCGACATTTCCTTACAGCGATGGAATTCTGTGCCTGGGGCATAACCTTCTCTTTGTTTGATCTGTCTATTCACCTAAATGTGAGAGAAAAAAAGAAAACTGGAAGGATTAATAAGACAGATGTAAAGGAAAGTGTCATCACTTGCCTTACTCGTAAGTTACTTTGTTTGACTTATCAAGTAGTCCCTTGTATACATAGCTTGCACGGCTATGTGGTGAGTCACTTCAGAGAATGAACTGACCTGAAAAATAAAATTATCACTATACAAGAAAAGTGATTCCTTGTAAGCCAGATTAATTCTCCTCATAAGTTCACCAGGTGGTCACATAAGTACAAGAGAAAGTCTCATACAAGAAACATACCATTCTTTACTTTGATTAAACTGCTGTGGAACTGTACCATTACTTCTACCTAATTGCTAGCAGTAAAAATAACAAGAAGTTCTCTGTATATTAATGGAGTAGAAAGTAGTAATTTTGCAAAGAATAGGGCAAGAACACTTGCTTTAAGAGCATATTAATCCTAGCAAGTTGAAGCAATGGAAGACTCTTCAGAAACCTGGTAAGTGTGGGACAGGAAAGATACTCTAGCTCACCTTCACCAACATGTCAGCTACATGAGTGTCTCGGGAGTCCTCTGCAAACACAGAAGTGAGAGCCTCGACATACCAGGATCCACGCTTGGTGTTTCGCATGGCAGCAGTGCCTGGGAATAAAGAGTGTATATGATGAACTTCCTGGGGGAAGACAGACAAACACAATCTCCTTAGGCCCTAAGAATTAGGGCCCATCCCCAGTACCTTTCAGACAAGCATATCCACAGATCATATCAGAGCATGTAGGCAGACGTAGCTTGAGATTTTCTTCCTTGTTTGCATCACTTTCCTCACAGCCTGGGGAATCTGACCATTCTTTCCCATCTCTTTGATCTACTCCCCGGTCTGTCTCATCTGGGGGAACATGGTGGGGGAGGAGAAAAAAAGGAAGGGGAGAAATTATCCTAAATTCTAGGATGTAATTTTCTTGTATTCCATCAATATCTTTGGGTCCTGGTCAGCAATCCCACAACTGCTGTGAAGCAGGCAGCTTTTGCATGAACTATTAGCTTTTTCAGCTGTTTTCAAAAGTTATCTGCAAGTTCTTCTGCACAAACTAATGCAGATAACAAGTGCAGAACCTGCTCAACCTGATGTGACTGTTAAATCCAATCAGCATGGAGACTTTCTACCCTCCCTTCCTATGCAGACTGAGGGGCAATTGACAAAGCAGAAGTTTTTGGTAGTTCTTCATGAAGCATGGAAGGATGTGAGGCCTAGCCTAAAAGTTTCTCTTTTCCACTTTTGATATTGTAGAAGTTGCAAAAGTGTCTAGTCCAGTTTGCAATGCTAACTACCAACTTATTACAGAACTCAAATGAGAACTATAAATTTAGTCTCTAAGATACATACAAGAAAAATCAAAAAACATGGACCAAATAACTCAGCTAGTTCAAAATCCTGACTATAATATCACTTGCTTTAATGAGAAGCATAAATTCTGCAATATGCAAAATAATTTGACCTCAAATACTAAAGGTAGAGATCTCCAGCACATGTGGACATTAATTTAAAACCTGGAGAACATTAAATGTCCTTTCTAGGATTCATTAGATTTATTATGACAATTCTGGATAGTCTCAGTTGGTTGTTAACAGTTTCCATTTTAATCTAGAATAACTGGTTATTATAACTGGAATACTTGGTTGCAGTAACTTTAACAGTTCAGGAATGTTGCAATAAAAATGAAACTACATTAGTAATACCTTTTATAGGCTTTCTATATAATGTTGTCCTTTTCTTCTTGTGTTATAAGATGAAAATCTCTTATTCTCCTTTCTTCCTAATGGCACGGGCCAGATCCTAGGTTTAGAAAGTGTTAAGTATCCACTTCAGAGGCCTTCTGGTTATGATGGCTCTAGGTTTTAGTTGCTAGGTTGTGCCTAAGAAACGCATTTCTAACCCTTTTTCCCATATATAAGCAGTGATGCTGGTGGCAGCTCATAATTATCCACAGGAGATATTTAGTTCATAGGGTGGCAAGGTCATTCTTCTTTTCCTTCAAAATAAAAGAAGAAGTGGGACTGCCTTACAGGCTAGATTTAGCCAACAATTAAGGCGCTATAGCTCAAGATTTAATGAGCACCTCCTTCATGTTCCTTCATCCACTCTTTAAGGAAGCAATATAAGTGTTTGAGTTTTCACCATTTTTTTCATGATTTTTCTCACACTTGTCCAAACCATTTTAATTCCATGTCTTCTTAAACATTTAGGGTACTATTCACAATATATGTTATTTCAGATAAGAAGACACAAGTAATTTTAAAATGAAGCTATATTATCCACACTGTCATCATCCCATAAAGTGTAAAGTCAAAGCGTTTTTGATCAAAGCTTCAGAATAAGTAGAAGTCATCACGGATTTGTCTTCAAATACTATCCCGGTTCACTTCCCAATGTTAACTGAAAAGTGTAAACAACTAACACCAACAAGTCATTCTTCTGAATGCTTAATGTCTATTTATATCACCAGTAACTGGCATCCAAACTGATCCAGCCTGTTTGTATTTCCCTGAAGTTCCTCACACTGACCCTTCTTGCCCTGATTGATTTAAATAACGGCCAATTGCACATCTGCCACCATTTGCAACAGTTCTTCACTTTTCCAAATTAACTACTATTTTAAACACAGCAGCTAACCAGTTTTGAAGCCTCTGAAATGAAGTGAAATCTGACTATTTGTCTTTTTCCATTGCTTTCTCTTGCCAATTTTTGATCTATGACAATAAGTGGACTACTCTGGCAAAAGGCTCTTTGGAAATTAAGTAGGCCGTACCCACTCTTCTTTACCTACATTTTTGAATGTGCTATTAATAGAAGAGAGACAAGGATTTTACAAATATTTAGGGAGAAAAAATAACCTATGCACTTCCATTTTGTTTCAACTGTTTACAGCTAACTTGCATGGGACTGAGATGCTCAGAACTAATCTAAAATCCCTCAGTCTACTTTCACAGCCTTTTAAATAAAAACTTTTAAGAAAGCAGAATTGGCTAGTCTAGCCTTTGAATGCTAACTAGAGAAACTATACATTTTTGTTGGTAGCTCAATCAATTCACAAATAGCTTTACCTTCCAACTATTAATGAAGGTTTACAAGAAAGGTTCATAAAAGGCAGTTTATTCTTTAAACTGAAAGATTTTTCCCTTTCAGTTGCTCAAGTCTCAGTCATTTGCCTATTGCAATATCCCAGCTCACCAGTTTACAGGACTTTGTATGGAAAGCTTCTTGCTCTTTTTTAACTGAAACATTCTCGGGAAAAGGAAGGCCAAGCCTGATTTGTTTATGTGGACAGAACAACTGTGGTATAATTACAGTCAAACAAACAACTAGGTAAGCTGCCAATATTGGCTTATTACACTTATTTCCACACTGATACGAGACCGCACATTCACTTCAGTTCAAGAATATCTGATGGCTAAATAACATAAGGAAACAACCACATTAAATCCATATCATAAACACACATATTACAATATTCCCAAATGCTAAAAGGACCAAGTGTTTTTATTGATACCTAAAATATTTTTATTGTAGAGATCAGAATTTTTCTGCAATAGAATTAAACTTGTGTAGATAACAGTTGAATGAAACGTGTCTGGGTGGAATACAAAATATAAAGCTTAGCTAAAAAGGAAAAGAAGGCAGGAAATTGTGAGGGGAAAAGGAGAAGAAAGGGAAAAAGCATGCACACTAGAAAGGATATTCCAGGCTTCTCTATCACAAGAGAACAAAAAAAGTTTTCCATGACAGAACTTCTCTTTGGAGTATCTGCAGTTTCACAGCAGTGCTCAAAAAGTGCACACATTTCAGAGAAAAATTTAGTCATTAGCAAATCTGAAAGCTAGTTTGTTACATGCCATACTTAGCTACAAAAGGAGCAAAATAGTTAGCAGAAATGATAAAAAAACAATAGGAACAGGAAGAGTGGAAAAAGCCACAGGTCTATAAGAATTCAAGAAAGAATTCTAAAAGAATTCTGAAACTGCAATAGTATGGGAAAAAGGGCATAAGGAAAGGTTAGCTGAAGGTCGAGAGAGCAGGAAAGGGGGTGGGAGGGAAAAAAAAAAAAGGGACTTGGAGCCAACTTTGATAGCTCAAGAAACACGGCCACAAGAGATGCAACACATCCAGGATCAAGAGAAAGACAGGACCTCAGACAAGACTTCAGTGCTAATGTAGCACTCCATGCTGTGCTGTAATTAGAACACCATATGCATCGCTACGCTACCCTTATTGCAGGCATGGCAAGAGAAAGCTTCAGTATATGATACGGGAGATGATAGGGCTTTCCATTACTAAGGTGCTCTGGGGTCTGCAAGTCAATGCACACACCTCATGCAGAGCAGAAGACACTTACAGAGCAACAGATGCAGTGGCAGCAGCAGGGCAGAGGGAGGTGAATATGGGTTCCACTTACACCTGAGAGAAGCAAAGAGGAGAGTTGACAGCAAGTTGAATGTGAGGGTGTGTATGTGTGCAAATGAACCTTAATGGCATGCCAAATACACGGCTTTCAGTATTTGGGCACTCACCTCCCCGGCAGGCCTGAATAAAGAACATTTTGGGCTTATTCTGGAGATTTGGACAGTTTGCATTATCAAAGAGCCGGAAAGCCTCCTGCAACTAAGAGAAGAAAGAAGATAAGAAGGTAAGTATTCTTCACTGCAGCCTTCTGTAAACTGCAACCCAAATGGCTCGCTTTGTTTCACTGTATTTTGGTTATTACCTCACTACACTTGATATTTTCCCCTTTACCTCACTTATTTATTTCCCCTCCAAGTAGGCACACTGGTCAGACCACAGGTCCATCCAGCTCAGTATCCTGCATCTGACAGTGGCCGTACACAAATACCTAGGAAAGAGTATAAAAGCAGGGCAATTACACCTGACAGATCGCACTAATACTCTCCTCCCAGCCTCTAAACATTTTTAGCTCAGGAACTTTTTGAGTTGGATGTGGTTTCTATGTATTTCGTAACTTTCAGTATCACCTACAAAGATGTCCAGTCTCCTCTTGAACTCAAACATTTTGTGTTCTTAACACCTTTTTGTAAGAAGTTTCCCAGGTCAACTATTCACTGTGTGACAAACATCTCCTTTTGTTTATTTTCAACCTTACTATTGGTTTCATTTGATATAGTACTTGTATGGGAAGAGAGAATGAACTAATTGCTTCCTGTCTGCCCCATTTCTACACCATTCCTTATCTTACAGACCTCTCACAGCACCTCCGTGCTTTGTTTCCCACAAGCTCTTATTTCTCCTTTTTTAAAAAAGTAGATCCTCAGTCTCCCCATCACTTCCCTTCCTAATTTTTTCTCTTTATGTCTTGGAAAGTAACAACAGAATCTGGAATGCATCAGATCACAAGAATATACCTGTAGTAGTTTGCCATCAATGCCATAAACCCCACCCTCCACACCATGGGAAAGTAAGGCTACAATGCAGGAATCCACATCTCGATGATCTGGCAGCTTAGAGAATCTCTGCAATGCATTCTGCATCTCCTGGAAGAGAGAAAAGAAGCGTTTAATGCTTCCCAGATTTGCACAGGGAAAATGGGTGAACGTACAAGGATAAATAGAAATGGCCCACCTGTTATGGAACAAACCCAACAAATACATCAAATTTATAGCACAGGAGACGTCTGCTCCATAATAATACTTGTTGTGAAGTATGTAATCTCCCACTTACCTGTGCAGTTTGATCATGAAAGACAGTCACTTGGTACCCAAGATGCTTGAAAAGCATCTCCAGTGCAGTACAGTCTACATCTCCCCCTGAGCGGTACTCCAAGTCCTTCTCACTACTGAAATGCACGTTGCTGAGAATAAGTGCTAAGCCTCGTGGCTCTGATATCAGTTTGTATGCCTGAGAAGAACAAAGAAGATTAAAAACAGGTAAATTTAGCCTGCACAGGGAAATATTACAGTTTCAGAACAGAATAGCAATCTCTACATATCTGTTTGATTACTGAAAATGTGCAAGATTTCTAGTTTGAGAAGGCACAAAAGCAGCAAAGGTTAAATTTTAGAAATGTGTATGTGTGTGTGTGTGTTTTTTTTTTTTTTTTTTAAGTATAGCAAATGTTTATATTGCAAAGGGTCCTAAGGCAACTCTTCCTGCAAGTTTCTGCAGCTGATGTCCCTGTAACACTCCATTATTAAGATGTTGTAATAACTTGCCTTACTTCTCCTTTTAAAAGAAATATAGATTTTACATTTCAAATTGTTAGGTCTTGCTAACTTCCCTTCCCTCCTCTTCCCCCAAACACACTCCCACCATGACCCTACGTATTTTGGTCATACCCATCAACAACCTTAGGACAATATTATGTAACTTTTAGATAACACTTCTTAATTGCTGTTTGGAGCAGGTAAAAATGTAAAATAACGCGAGTGCACTTGCAACAGCAAGAGACTGTCAATCACTGATCCTGACAGTTATGAAGCTGCCAAAAAACGTTAATAGAAAAAAAAACTAACTTAAGGAGGGTGTCTTTGAACTCAGTTCCCTCCTTGCCCCTCCCACTCTAACAACAGTAAACTAATAATAAATTGGTTACTAACATTGCCTTAAATTGGAAAAGAAGTTTAATACTGAAAGAGGATACCAAGCACAGACAGATGTAAAAGTAGGCAAGTTGGGCCCATACTGATGCACCCCAATTAGGTCTCCCCAACAGACAGTTAACAAATCTGTTTTGCTGCATGTATAATCTGTAATAGAAGCATTAAGCGTTACCACATTGTGTATCTCTACTAAAAGAATGTGCCCTGCTACACAAAATGATTAATCTTCCTTAGGCCCACCCCATCACAATCTATGCTTTACCAACAGAATAAACAAAAAATAGGTACACTGTCTACACAATATCTATAACTATAGAAGAGGATTCAAATTCTACTGGGTACAGCACAGAATCCTGCTCTGCTTCTTGAGTCAAAGGAGAGACTCTTCCTAAGCCAGCTGGCAGTTAAAACAGCCAAGACTTTGATAGCAAGCTGAAACACAGTCCTAATATATTACAATCATTTGCAGAGTGTTTCAGTGCACAGAGGAACAAGAGAGAAAGTAGATAAGAATACACATAGATAAACATGAGGTAGTAATATAGGCAGCCTACAAACACAGAGCAACAAAATAGAAGACATTTCAAAAAGTTCTTTATGAATAAAAACCACACACAGATATGTACAGAGTTACAGCACTTCTCAAAATTGCTTTACACTTAGAAACAGGAGCTACATCAAATGGAACATGACTGGTAACGCTTCAGTTTTGCAGATGGCACAGCACTAATCCACATCGCAGTGAAGCATTTGCTTCCATGCAAGTAGTAAGCAGTGTTGTTTCAGTTGATGTATCCAAACGCTCCACATCTTTAGGAGATTTTGTCTATCAACTGCTTACCAAGTGCTGGTGATCACGATAGAATTGCGGAGTGCAGTGCTTCACTGGAGGAATCGGGGGACCATCTCCATTATCCCAGGAATGTTCCACTGGTTCTGCGTGAAACATACATATTAATAACAACAACAACAAAATCCTAACCGCAAAGCCTCTGCATTAAGATGCTAAGCCACAAAATCTTAAGCATGTGCTTTTAGGCATGTTCCTGTATTATACTATTCATACCTCTAAAAATTTTGCTTGATCAGGGACTACAGACACACTATGAAACATAACAGAAAAAAGCAAGAGCACTGAAATGGTATACTTATTTTTTATACTTTTATATTTTAATTAGCAATAAGTTTTAATTTGCTGCCCTATTTGGGGTTTAATTTGCTGCCCTATTTGGGGTTTAACTTTAATTGCAGCCTAGCAAATTCAGTTGTACAGATCATGCAAGCAGTATTCACACTTAAAATTATAGCACTGTGTTTTTCTGTTATTTTCTACTCTATCCCATCTCCTTCACAGTGAGGTTGACTATTACTAGAAATAGTCAAACAAAATAGTGCCTTTTCTTTCAAAAGAAGACCTCCTATTCTCACTGGATACAATTTCATTGCTTGTTTTATGCTGAATACCCATATAAGTATTCAAACTAGATGCTTCTAACTTTTATACAGGGCAATGCCCTTTTTAGTTCATCTGTCTCTGAACAACCCTTACCTCTGGACAGAGGCAGATGAGGGAATGAGAATCAACTAATTTTCATTTGCAGATAAACACTCATTCTCCTGTCCTGAAGAAACTGAGCTAATAACATTCATGATCGCCTTTGAAATCCATTTGCAGCCTTTTTAAACATAGTGCTCTCAGTTGAAGGAACATCTGCTCTAAAAAAAGAACCTTTGCACCTAAAAAAAACCCTTTACAACCTGGACATTTTTTCTTTAATACCAGAAAGAGCTGCCTGTAACCAGTACCCATTTAACGAAGTGGTCAGGGAACAAGGAGTACTGTAGGTATTACCAGAGACAACGTAACAACTAGCAAGGCAATGCATTCCAACAACTAGTTCCTTGATCTAAGTCACAAATACCTACTTAAAAAAAACACTTCTTTGCTGCACTCAGAGCTACAGAAATATGTTTTAGGCCCACACACCAAACATAAAGCCTTCTACTTAACCTTATATGCTAAGAAGGAAGTATGACTAAATTACGAAATACTGCCAGGAACCAGTATTAATCTTCCCAAACTTCTAGTACTACCTACGTTAGGCACTGTTTCTTACACAACTTAAAGAAAGAAAAAAATCTTTGTAAATCTGAAATTTTACAGTTGACATGTTCTGCTTCTGCAACAGAGTTTCCTATAAGAATAAATGAACTAAAATGAGCAAAGCTGACTAGAAACTGATTGGCTCGCTCTCCCACTATGCTCTTCCACTATCACGTTCTTGCCTAATTCTGCCTTCAGCATCCGTTCATAATACTCATTCCATGAACAAATTTCTATTACTAGGATGAGCAAAGTGGTGGAAAGCTTACATCTAAAATTGAGATATGATAGAGTATTAAGGACGTAAGAGGCAACCAAACAAATATCCAAACATTCATGGTATTATGTTTGACTCACCAATCCAGCGTGGTCTCTTTGAATTACATGATTCATGGACAGGGAGTGGAAGATACGATTTATAACAGTGTTCCAGCTACAAGAGATCCAATAAATCCATGAAATCATTAGCAAAATCTTTTTTTTTTTTTTTTTAAATAGCACAAGACTGTAAGTATCATGGAACAGAGAGACAGATATTCACATACATACATAAATGACTTTAAACATAATACACATCCAAATGGAACAGATTATGACAAGATAGCTGCATTATTATTATTACTTTGCAATGCAAAATTCTTTCCATTCTTTGCTTATGTCTACTGCTACCCATATCCGCTATAGGGAAACTTTATACTGAGGTATCATATCCTCCTCGTGCATCCTTAATCTCAGAACTTTTTTCCAAAACTTGATCTGTCCAATGATTCCTTTCTTTGAGGTTGCTATCAAAATTTCGTCATGTTTGTAGAGAAACAAGCAATTTAAAAAAGGAAAAAAAGTAGTCTGAGAAAGCCTACATTTTTAATAAGGGAACCTCTTTGATCAAAAAAATCTGGTCTTCCTTAGTATGAAATACGCTTACTGTGAGTTCCCATCTTTGTCAATGCACTGAGAATACTGACTTCTTATTAAATTCTTCCTTTAGTCCAGTGCTAACAACTGCAGATAATGAAAAGGTGAAAATGAAAAACAAAATTAGCAAAGAAAAGTCCCTCTCTTCCTCAACAAACCAGACTAGTAACTTTCTACTCAGAGAATCTTTCAACACATAAATTGAAAGATTTTAGAAACGATATTTCCTTTCCAGCTTTCAGGTTCCTGGTGACATCAATAAAAATGTGGGAAAACTTTCTTCCTCCCCAAATCCTTCCCCCGGCTTTTTAACCTCAGGCTATTGCAAGTTTCAGTTTACTACTAAAACCCACTCTGTCCTTTGTACACACTCATTTCTTTAAACAGTTAAAAAAAATCCCTTTGTGCTCATACCCAATCCCAAATGCAGTCAGTCCATCCACTTTCTTTTTAAAGCTGTTGTACCTTTGAAATCCCATTGCTTAAGTTGGATTCTGTCTTCAAGATCATTTCCTCCAGATGCTGCTGTTTAGTTTCTCGTAGAGCTTCACAGAAGGCTGAGAAGGCGTTAGGGCCTCTCTTGGGCAGCAAATTTAGGAATTCCACATTTTGGCTGAAGCTCCCTGACTTGGCCTAGATCCAGAAAAGAAACAGAATCCACACTCACAGAAACACCCCAAATCCTTTTTCTTCAAGTAAACGTTCCATCACCATGCTTGGCCAGATCCCTTTAAATAGTTTTTCCTAGTTCATTTCACCTCACTGTTCATGTTAGTTCCTGATGGAAGAGTATATGACAACATAGCAAGCCAGCAATTCTTACATGACCACACACAGTAACACATCCTCTCATCTCTAAACTTTCACTTACAGTTACTGTCTGCATAATTTCTACTTCCCCTTTTTTAATACACAAAGTCCAAAACCACATTTTCCACTACTGCCCAGCTTGTTTATGGTCTCGAGCACTGATGTACAAATCCCTCAGAAAGTGTTAATATTTGTTTTATGCAGTTAATTCCAAAAAGATACTACACACTTATAGAGTGTTACATTTAGAGCAATGAAGCAATTTATCGTAGTAAGTGATAAACAGTAACAAGCAACACTGAAGAAAAAAAAAACACCCACCCACACCCACCTGCAAAACATACACAGGAAGTTTTAATTGTTAGAGTATTAACAGGACATCAGGACATTTGCTCAAGAATTGTGCAATTTATGAACTAGTAGTCATCTCTGTGAAACCTGACATATACTGAAATATCATGTACCAAAAAGTATGTTTTTTCACTTCCATGGAATTCATTCTACACTTTTTGGTTAACCAAGGCAATAACGCTCACAATTGTAGTCATTAACAACGTCACTTAAACCTAAGATCTCTCTTTTGGTGGTGATAAGAAATGGTTGCTAAGTTCCACAGAACCAATAACTAACAGTACTTAAGACATTAGCAATCACAGGAACACAGGATCAGGAAAAATTCTCAAGTCTGATATGTAAACCTCTGCTACAGAAGATTTCACATCATATAGTCCCTTTTATGAAATTTATCAAGCTTGTCTTAAAAATAGTTTGGCTTTGGTGCCATCACACTGTTTAGAAGGAGACTGCAAAATCATGCTGGTCTAATGATCACGAACCTATTCATGAGCACTAGACTTGGTTCATTCATGACTGTTTAATAATTATTTATTTTGGCAGTGCCACTGTCCTTTGACTTTAGCGTTCTCCTGTCCTTTCCCTTATTTAACAAATCACTTTTTATAAATCACTCTTCATTTGCTAGAATAAACAAGCCACATTCTTTTAGCCTCCTAACTATGTCCCTTTCCATTTGACAACCCTTTCCTGTTTCCACAGAAATTTTGTCTTTCAGAACACTGCTGACTAGAACTGCATACAGTATACTTTTTTTGAAAAGCGTAGGTGAGTATAAAAATACTTGCCTATCTCTCCTGTAAACACTTCTCCATTAGTCCATAGAAGATAACCAGCTCCACTTATTTGTATCTTGCTTTAAGCCCTCTGAATTTTATTTCCCCTAATTAAGTAAAATAACAGCTGATATTCTATAGTACCTATTATTTCTTCCCTTCTAATAGACCAGCAGCTGTTTATGACAGCATTAAAGCTCAAGATCATGAACCTTCTTCACTTTGTACACCTTCATAATCTAAGACTCTGAGCCAGAAATCGTAATTGAGAACATGAGTTGACTTGAGAATTGGACCTTAAGGTTAATTGAAAAGTTATGATAGTTCCATAATGTTCATATTCTGTAAGTTGTATGTACAATAATCAGTTTTGACATAATTTCTTCCTCAATGGTTCCCTAAATACCCAAAGCGCAGTACCTCCTCATGTAACTTTTACATCAATGCCACTATTATGGGTTGATCTAAAAAACATTTAGCAAATATTTAGGAGTAAAACTTTCTTAAGGTAGATTTCTTTCATTCTGTTTTCTAGTACATTCTTAATTCACTTTCACACCTACGGATGAGTTTGATAATCTGTAAAACATGGACTGGTTGTATGACATACTCTGAATTCAATTCTTTGCAAAAATTCCATAGTATTAGTCTTGTTATTGAGCCAGAATATACATGCAAGATCCAAGGAGGCAAGGCATATCTTGACAAATAATCAGTCTTATGTCACTTTGTCAAAGCCACTGATCCCTCCATTGTCATCTACTAATCAACAGAGACCATTTAGATACCCCTATCCCCATGATCTACTAACCCACAATTACATTATAGAGGCTTCAAGTTGTTTGAAAAGGAAAACAAAACCCTTGCTACCATAACTGCTATTTTGAAGTCCTGTTCCAGAGCTCTAGAAGTACATCCGTCATCCTGACAAGAGGACACTCACGAAGTGGATTTTGGACTTCCATCTTAGAAATGGCTGTTTTCACTTTCACATTTTATTCTCACTTTTCACCTTTGCTTGGCCTTTGGGTTTGAAAACTCTCTTCTGGGCCCTCCTCTAGATAATTATTAGATTTACCTCATCTTCACTACATAGTAGACCTAAATTCTCTCTTTGTTCTTTTCAAAAAAGAATGTAATTGAATACATTCATTTTGTCTAGTATCTTTTAGGAAGCCTCCACTCAAATTCTTTCCTGCCAGTGCTTATTCTCTCTCCATTTCTTCTTTGGACGGCAAAGAAAGCTGCTTCTATTTATTAATTATTCCCAGTCTACACATATAAACTCTTTATTTACTCTTCACGTGCTTATCAGCGCTTCATCCAGTTCAATCACCTTCTCTTCATTTGCTCTTCCAACAATCTCCTCCCCTCCCACTTTTCTATTACTTCTAACACGGATTCAGGATTAGTTGGGCAGCCCACATTTGAAGATATTTCAGGCTTTCTTCAGCTCCCTGAGCTTCTCAGTTTATTTCACTTTCCTTAGGGTACTTCACTTAAAGAAGGTAGACTTTTATACACTGTTTCCAGAACCAATTTCTTTATTCTTCCATTTAATATAAATGGCAGCAACACAGGACCAGTATAACTGAAAGGTTTTTAAGACAAGATGATTTATAATATAATAAGTCATCCAGATCTTCTTCATTCCACCACTATTTGTTTGGAGGAAGGATACACAGAACCAGTCAGTTACAACATCTAGGAAAACCTATGCTCTGTTATCAAATACAGTGACATTTGTCTCTTCCTATTTCCACTAAGGTCCACCATTAGTGTCATGATACATTTTTCAAGAATGGTTCTCCTGAACGGTATCCCTAAGACCTTTATTCACATTTGACCCAGCGTGCAGGAGATTATAAGAAATTCACAGAACTACCCTAGAAAAATGAAAAAAGATAAGACAACTTGTTTTTGATTCAAGTGATCAATTTTATTCATGTTATTTCTTGCTTATTTGTTGTCTATTGCATTGTTATCATCAGTACTATCCTGCCACCTCTACCTTCATTTCTATCATTCTAGCGCAATGCACATTTTGCATTACTACTGTTCCAGTTGTCACTGTTCTCCTCCTTTTCTCCTGCCCCACCCCCCAACAAGCTTCTGTTATCTCTGTTACTTCCAGCTTCATATTCTTTATCAGCGGACTGAGTTATGCTATTTTCTTGCTCAGGCTGCTGTTGCTACTCACACATATTTAAGCTACTTCTTATGAGTATACATAGTATTATATGCAATTTGCCTATAAAGTTGTTCCACTTACCTGACTTCTCCACCATAACACCTTCTTCCTCTGTACTCTCTAAAGTATTGCTGCATCCCCTTTTACCTAACCATACCTGGAGGGCAGAATGCTCAGTCTTCTTCCTCTCTTTCTCAGTTTAAATCTTATTAACCACTGCAGCATTTTTCCCCAAATGACTGTTTCTTCCAGCACTGTCTCCTCTTCAAGAGGGTTTCTCTTTCAGTGACTGACTGCAGGCCAACAACTGAACATCCCTACAAACCAGCCATACGCCATCAGTTCTTGATTCATCCTCTGCTCTTCCAACATCTTCCTGTATCTTTGTCCTCTATCTCTAGGGATTGGAACTATTTCAGGGAAGACTGCCTTGGTAGATATCCTCAATGCGTCACAGGAGAAATTTTGTGCTATTTTTTTGACACAGAGTCAAAATTCATCCGGAAGTTATTTCCTCATTCCCTTCAGAAATTCTTCAAGCAATTTACAAAACATACATGAAATAAGTTCTTTCTATAAAAGTAGCTTAAGTGCCACAATAAGCTGGCTATAATATATTCATTTACTTTTTCTCACAAGATTCTTTTGGAAATAGATATTATTCCCACTTTTACAAATTGAAGAAAAAAAGAGGCACAAAACAACAACTAAGGACTGAAAGATACTACCTGACTCACCAAGTGCAGCCTCTCACAACTACAAACCCCCAAGCAGTTCAGTGATTCGGTAGATCTCAGACCATAACCATATTGCCAAGAGAGGCTTATGAACCTCCTACATGTTGTGAACACACCCCTTGCTGCTGTGCACATTCTCCAAATGTGATTAAATTAAAACACACAGGTAACACATACATGAGTTTTACCACATTACCACTTCCAAGAATGATGCTAAGCTTAACTAGGAATAGAACTAGCACGGCACCTGAGCATGACCTGTATACCTGTATCATTTCCATCATCTCAGTGGTGATGATGTCTTTCTCTATCATATGCTCCATCAATTCTTTTAAAACCAGCTGCTTCGCCAGCATCACCCGGTTCTTCTTTAGCGCTTCCTGGTGACACCTCTGCATGCCGCACGCTCCCAGCATCCTGGCAGAAGAGAGAAGACCAAAACCAAACTGAACCGCAAGGGCTACCCCATCCCGCCTAACTTTCCACTCAGGAGCGAAAAGCCCGGCTGCGTGTCGGGAGCACTGGAGGCGCCCGA